CTTTTTCAGCAATATTTTTTCAGCAATCTTGCAATGGAAATGAGAAAAAAATCTGCATGTGTGTTTGTATTTATGCATTAATGGATGGCATTTTTAATTCTAATTTAGTATTTGACTTTAAGGCACACAATATGTAATCGTCTGATTGCCCAAACCCTTCTTCAGTATTCCATCAAGTTTGTGAATAACCTGTAATGACAGATGGTAAAGAGCATTTCCTGACAGTCAGTGACTGACTGGAGTAGTTGAGGGATACAGGCAAATAGCTACATAACCATCCATAGGAGAGGGACAACACTGATTTCTCAAAGTAAAATCTTTGACTAACAACTTCCTAATTTTTCCTTTTTTCCTAATCATATTTTCCCTAGGTTTGTTCTTTCAGAACCTCTTGAAATTTTATGTCTACTTTCAGGCTAATTAGTTAAATTTGCTACTTTTAACATTTGTCAGTAATAGGAAATAATGGAAGCCATTATAAACTGCGGATCAACAACATTTTGCCAACATGTTGGTACTGGGACCTGTGCTGTTCAACATCTTTGTTGGTGACATGGACAGTGGGATCGAGTGCACCCTCAGCAAGTTTGCTGATGATACCAAGCTGTTTATTGAGGTAGACATGCTGGAGGGGAGGGATGCCATCCAGAGGGACCTGGACAGGTTGGAGAGGTGGGCCCGTGCCAACCTCATGAAGTTCAACAAGGCCAAGTGCAAGGTCTTACATCTGGGTCGGGGCAATCCCAAGCACAAACACAGGGTCGGCGGAGAATGGCTGGAGGGCAGCCCTGAGGAGAAGGACCTGGGGGTGCTGATTGATGAGAAGCTCAGCATGAGCCAGCAATGTGCGATCGCAGCCCAGAAGGCCAACCGTATCCTGGGCTGCATCGGAAGAAGCGTGGCCAGCAGTTCACCGAGGGCTGGAGCACCTCTCCTATGAGGAGAGGCTGAGAGAGTTGGGGCTGTTCAGCCTGGAGAAGAGAAGGCTCCAGGTAGATCTTACTGCGGCCTTCCAGTACCTAAAGGGGGCCTACAGGAGAGCTGGGGAAGGACTTTTTACTAGGGCATGTAGTGATAGGATGAGGGGGAATGGTTCAAACTGGAAGAGGGCAGGTTTAGATTAAATATTAGGAAGAAATTTTTCACTGTGAGGGTGGTGAGGCACTGGAACAGGTTGCCCAGAGAAGTTGTTGAGGTCCCATCCCTGGAGGTGTGGCCTTGGGCAACCTGGTCTAGTGGGAGGTGTCCCTGCCTGTGGCAGGGGGGTTGGAACTCGATGATCTTCAAGGTCCTTTCCAACCTAAACCATTCTATGACTCTATGTTGGCAAAATACTTTTCTGTGAAGAATTTCCGAATGTTACATGGAAAATATTGATTTAAAAAAAAAAAAAAAAAAACCAAACAAAAAAAAACCGAGCTGGAGCAGGCACCTGGCTGCGTATTTATTGCCAGTATGTGCTTCTCCGTTCTGGCTTTGTCAAAGATTAGAACATGGAATATTTTAGTGTAGTCAAACATCAGTAGCTTGACTAGCAGATTACTGTGAAAGCCATGCTTTTAAAGAAGGTAAAATTCATCTTCCTTCTTTGTTAGTACTGTTTGAAGGATCTTCTTTGAATTCCCTTATTAGGTTCTAGACTAGCCCTGCAGAACACTAAAAATTCAGTCTCAGTTAGGTCTGCAGAGCTGACACACATCAGCATTTGTTGTTACATCTTAAATGAAACTGAGAAGACAAAGTTAATCCTGCAGAAGGCAAGGTCATGAACAGCCTTGTCAGTTTGTTTTAAAAGAATCGGTTTCTGCCTGTAGAACTTAGCTCTCGTAAAGTGGAAAATTTAATATATAACAGTAAGTGATGTTTATTTAAAAATCACAGGGTCCAGTCTACATGGATTTATTTCTTTTTTTTTTTTTCTTATAGTAAGAGTAACCATATTAAATGGTAATTTTTGCTGACCTCTGTATAATGTTTAGGTTGCCGTGCAGTTCCCAGAAGGAAATGGTCTGGCAGCTGAGCTGACCTTAAAGTTGACAATTAAGGCCAATTCTGAGGGTGTTTTCTCTGCTGTTGGTACCGGCAAACTAAGAAAGAAACCATAAATGAATTTCATACTGACATAGTGAAATTTGACTGAAGCATTTCATAGTTCCTTTGAAAAAGAGTGCAGAACAGCACTGCCAATATTTTGTAAGGACAAAAATGATTTTTTTTATCAGTGAACAGTCTGATTTGCAGTCGTGTCAGTTCTGATGCAGTATGTTTAGTGTTTTGTTCACAAGTTTCCGTATCTCTACAACACATTGTTATTACTTTTGGTTTCTATCGTATCATTTAAGTATATAATCCCATTCCTTAACCTTTTTGTTCTTCTCTTGAAAACAACGTGTTTTCTTAACAGCAGGGCTCAATATATACCCAAGAAGTCTTGGAAGCAGCTGGACTGCTGAGGCTTTCGTGCATCCTGGTGTGATAGAGGGGACACCCGCACCGTGATGGATTAGGAAAGTTGAGCACTCTCACCGTTCGTAGCTAACTATTTTGTTCATGTGTGCAAGAGTTACAAGTTATGAGTTACAAGTTGCGAGTTATGAATTAGATAACTTGTTAGTTAGAAAGCTCATGAATTAAGTGTGAATTCACATGCAAAGGGGATTGAACCCATTTGTTGTGTTTGTTTTCTTTCCTAGCAAGCTCATAAAATAAAGTTAAATTTACATCATATCCTGTCCTGTAAATTTAAGAGATCCAAACAGACCGTGACCTATGTGCCTTAAGTCTTTTCTATGAAGAGAAAATACTTAATTTTGCTTCATAACAGAGAATCCATTGGGGAACAATCTACATGTCACCTACATGGCACACTCAAGTTAATGCAGTCTGATCAGTGTCACTGTAGTTAATGTGAAAGCAACTCAGGGCGCAGTCCCAGGCTGCACTCATGGTAGGAAAAGAACCACTTGAAAAAAGGAAAAGCCAGAGAACATGATGCTGTGCTGGCATTATGTGTTACATGTGAAGATTCAGAGTGTTCTGAAGGCAAATGGGAGCAGCCATGCAGCAAAGGGATGCCTGAGGGTTTCACCACGCTAAACAAGGTGAGATACTGTTTTTCTTTGCATGGGATGCTGCTTTTGCTGCAAAAATACATTTGATTCTGGGTTCTTCATTTTATACCAGTAAGCAAAAATTTTCCTATATCAGTTCCTATGCTAGAAGGCTCATAACTGCAAATAGATTTCTTCTGAGTCCATAGCTGTTTATCCATGTCATTCTCGGGATTCTCAACACAGTGGAACCTTCCTCTGTTTCAAATATTCCTTCAGATGACTACGATACAAATAATTCAGTGAAAATCTGTAGGATTCAGTGGGTCTAGCTGCTTTGCTGATTAGTGTGTTCTAGTCATTTCTTATCATACCCGGTGAATGCACTATTTAAATATTTAGAGACTTTTACTTAAATGTATTTGAACTTATGAATCAGACTAGAAAAACATGGTTCCTCTTAACATTACCCAATCATTCCTGAATGCCCTCCGATTAGTTTTGTAATGATTTAGGGTCAAAACTCTTGTAGAAATAGTACTTCATATCCCCTAACAAAGTACAGTGCTTGCTTTAGCAAAGTGTAAATTTGTCAACGTGTTCATTTTAATTTTGTTTTCGTTATTTGGTTAGGAGCATGTTACACAACAAAAAAAAGGTAAAATACTTGACGTTCATTTCAAAGCCACATAGAATGTTTCTGGTTTCAAGTATTAACCAGATTCATGCAATTATATAAGCCAGCAAACACAGTTGGAACTGCTTTTCAAATTAATTGCATCCAGATTCATAGCAGCACTTAGAAAAAAAATTTTTATTCTTGGATTAAAAGTGAACGTTTTTCAGATGAACCTGTCCTAGGATAATAGGATAATATTGAAAGTCTCAGTTCTCAGGAGTCATCCTTTCTAAGTCTTTCATAAACCCCAAACATTTATAAACAGAAAAATGTGCAGGTACACACTGAGCCATACATTTTAATGGCTACTTTTTTTCAGCATTCCAATTTTCTGTATTCTTATAACTGCTCAATGTTAATTACAAGTAGCTTCAATGGGAGCTTTGCGTGTAAATCTCCTGTGCATAAGTAGAAAAACAGATGAGCCTTTGCAAGTACTTAATTATTTTTTATATCTCTTGAGATTCCATTTCCTTAGTATGACACTTGTTACCGACTCACCAAGCCAGACTTATCCATACTAATGTGTTTGAAAAAAATCATATTTCATTTGAGTATAAGCATTTCAGATTAACAAATAAGGATTAGTCAGCATTTACATCTTTCAGGAAAGCCATGTGTGGTCAAATCAAGTATGGATAAGCTAGTCCTGAGCAGACTTTTATTTTCCTTTGCAGATTTCTGACAGTTTGGCAGGTCAGATAAAATATCCTTAAATTTCTTAAAGTATACTTTGTTCTTTTAATTATGAAATAATGTTATGATTAATGAGAAAAGTTGAAGGATATAAGCTGCATACACTGGGGACTCAAGAAAACTTATAAGCAGACTGATTTCAAGATAGTAGTAGTAGTATTGAAGTACTAAATAGTTTTACCTTTAAAAAATCGACTTTGGTGAGGGTGTAGTAACATCTGATTATTTCACCTAAGTATTTGCCTTATTAATGTCTTCTTGAACTTCCCATAGCTTGAAGCGTCTCTCCATGACACAGAGCCATAATACAGAAATAGTTGAAAGAAGTTAATGAGCTCATTTACTATTGGCATTACTCAGCAGTACCACAGAACAGTTTTCAGCAAAAATTGAATGGTTTTCACCAAAATACAACCTTCCTTCACCTCTCAATTGCAGGGCTTTATTGCTGCTGCGACCGCCCTCTAGTCAGAGGTAGGTACATCCTGAACAAAGGCCGGTGCTACAAAGGGCAGGTGACACGGCCCGGCCAGTGAGGGCTGTTAGCCCTCAGCAACCCCCAACGGTCCCTCCCCATGGTCCCCCTGCAACAGCCACCCAACGGCCCCCCAACGGCTGCTGCTTGTGGCCAGGGGCTCCGTCCCATCCCTGGCCTGGCTGGAGGTAACGGAGATGGTGAGCGGCCATGGAGACGGTGAGCGGAGCCAGGGGGGCTCTGGCTGCTTTTTTGGTGCAGAAAGAAAGCTTGAAAGATTGATCCCTAAATGCAGAAGTATCAAAGCTGTCATCTGTAGTGGAAAAATTTGGCTTCTCTTTAGCCATAGCTTAGCTTAAGTTAACTTTCCACCTTTCCTGCATTTAGAGGGGTCTCCAATACGATGAGGGGGTTGGAAACAAGTTGACCGTGCCTGTTAAAGCCACTGAACTCTTCAGGACAGTAAGAAACCAAACCTGACCCTGAAGAGTGTAAGATTTTGTCATACTGCAGACAATAAAACAAATTAGCAGCTGAGGGTTACTAAACCAGTATAACTTCTGGTTCAAGGGGTGCCTGAGGGCTGGTTGTGGGCAGCGTCGCGGTATGAATATCCCGGCGCTCCTGGGATGTCTTTGAGCTTGGATCACTCCTCCATCTTAGAAGAAGCCGAGCAGTTAAGAAAGGTGCATGTTTTCATTTCTTGAAAATAGATCATAGGTCAGCTGTAAGACGACATTAACTACTTACCACCTACAATTACATACAAGTTTAAAAAGCATCTTGCAACTGCTGGGGGAAAGTTGTCCTGCAAGATATCACTGATGTGTCTTGGATAGCCTGTCTCTCTTTATTGCAGCACCAAACTTGCAGGTTTTTGTTGAGACATGCCTAAATTTTGGCGTGCATAGATACTAAGATATCTTCAATACAGGTAGAGACTCCAATAAATCATACGTTTTTCAAGCAGATATATATTTTGTTATTTTCTCAACAATTTTTGCTGGCAATTGAAAAGATCAAGTATTTCAACTGACCATCAGCAGGTTTCAAGTCCTTATATTATTTCGTCAGTTGGGTCCTTAATAAATTATTGATTATTTTTTATACTTTGACTAATAAATTTTGATGCTTGTGCCAAAACAAAAGGCAGTTTTAAAAAGGCAGTTTTTGTTCAAGAAAAATGAATGGTGTCTTCAGTCTTCCTTCCTTTTCAGCTCAGCCATCCTGCTGTGCTCTAAAAGTTAATGAAATGAGTGCATCATAGTCATCCCCTCTGTTTTCCCCAATGATGTTACACCTCAAGCTTTTACAGGAGGAGCTTGGGGGTGTAGCTGGAAGGTGGTCTATCCGAATCTGTCACAACAGATCCTTAGAAGAGATATGAGATATGTGTGACCCTGGTTTTATGCAGTGAGCTAGTGTATGTTGAGCCAGATCCTACCCCTAGTTTTGCAGGTGTTGATCTACAGTTATCTATTTTGATCTAAATTTGGGTTTATACATACATATTTGAAGTTCATAAGTAACTGTTGCAAATCAGCTTCTGGAGATAGAGACACCAGTTAGAGTTTATAATGCTTAATAGTTTTACCACGTTACGTGTTATCATATCTGGGCTGTGATGATGCTGTGATTCTGAAGCATGTGAGGGAATGGAGAAGGGGCACCTAACTGGGAAACTAAGCTAATATGATATCTGAGTGAGACTCACAAGTCAGGAATGAAGACCTCTGCTCTGTCCTGGTTTTGAATGCTTTTTTAACTTTGTATTAGTATCTTCCTAGTTAGAAAGTACAATGGTCTTTTTCAACTGGATTTTTTAGGTTACTATTTTTGGCTGGATTCAGGATTTTAAAAAATCCTCAAAATATCTTTTCAGACCCTTTAAAACTTTCCATGTATACTGTATATGTTATATGACTCTTGAAAAAATCAGAATTTTTTTTTCTTGTAGAGCTCCTTGTAAAAATGTACGTTCTTCTTTTACCTAAATTGTGATTAATGCAGTAAACGTGTTTGCCTTTATAGTTCAACATTATTCATTTTTCAAATCAAATAAATGTTTAATTTGCCACTTAGTGTACAATTAACTGTTTTTAATTTGTCAACTGTGTGAAATTTCAGTTCCAACACCGCAGAAGCAAATATCCAAATGCCACCTGATTTCTAATAAGGCATACAGATCTTCTCAAGTACGCAGTTCACGCTGAGGGCATAGTGGGGAGAGAGTCATTGTTGCAGATTTAATTCAATTTATTTTCTTACTGTTAGGATGAAGAATACCTACCACAGACGGATGAGCGAAACAAAATGCTGAAAGAAAAATTAGTCTCTCGTCTCCGGTTTGAACAAGAGAGGACAGAGGTACTGCTTATGGTAAAAGGCAGGTATATGGTGTGTGAAGCAGCTGGCGGCAGTGAAAAAGACAGCAGTGAACTGGTGAGAACGTGCATGATTTTAAACTAGACTATTTTTTAATATTTCAATTGCAGTTAATATCGTCCTAGCTGTAGTCCCATTATACTAAAAGTCTGACTTAGAGTTTACTGATAGAGTTATACATTGTCTTAAACTAGAGTTAAATATAAAAGCATGTGTGTTCCCGAATCCTTTCTAAATCTGGGTGCCCAAAAGTCCAAAATTAGATCTTTAAAAATTCTGGTCAGTTGCTACTGCTGCTGGAGCCAGGGTTAGCTTGTGCGCTCATAAACCACGGCCAGTGCTGCTGCATGGGCGCTTCTGGCCCGAACCCCGCGCCCGGGCAGCTGCCACTGTTGAAAGTGTCGCCTTGCTGGGCTGTTAGAGGTGTCTTCAGAGTGGTCCAAAAACGAAATATAAACAGACTTGTAGTAGAATATAGGGAGCTTGTAGAGAGTCTCCAGGAGTTTGCAACAGTGTTAATATTAAAGTAGTTTTGGCACAACTGATTTTGTTTGCCAATAAAGCTTTGGGGATTCCTGGATGTTTTGCAATACTGGAAAAAATGACGTTAACCTAATGAGTAAACAGGCATCCTTTGTATGGATAACCCTGGTATACATAGGATAATCCTAGGTTTACAGTGTTTTGACATGCAGCAATTTTTATTTTTTAATCTGACTTCTGCCTGGGAAAACTTTCTATGAGTACACGTTGATTATGTGTTTAATGCCTGTGCAGTCACGGGAGTGAAATTCTTCCTCCTGGGAACCTTTTAAGGGAAACTTCAGAGGCTGTCACTTATGGTGAGGCATTTTCCTGGAAGAAGTATTTGATACTGAGTAACAATTAAAATAGGAAAATTTGGAAGAAAAGTGTTCTTGCACTACAACCCTTCCACAGTCCTGCCATTGTTGGTGTGGAATTAAGGAATCTCCTTAATTTGTTCCTAACCCACTACCCTCTGTCTCTCCAAAGCAATGGAGAGCCTCCCATTGCTGAATTGCTCTTACCAAATATGCTACAGTATGAGTTAGCCTTCATCATGTAACATATCTTCTCATGGGAGTAGACTGTAGCTCTCAAATATGAGACAAAGACATTATAGTCTGTTTTACACTAGCTTAGTTTTTTCCTATCCAGTGTAAACTCTTTATTCTCATCATTCATAGAAAGTACCAGTGTTCTATTTTATCATGCTAATTTGAATAGTCAAAATCAGACCTCTACATTTCATATACATGAATCCCTTACTCTCTCTATAAATCCATGTAAATTAATCTAACTTACACGATTATTGGAATCATTTGCATTTAGTTAGTGTTTGCTTCAAGGGTCCTGAAAAACAATGATTTGTTCTTCTAAATTTAGAATTTCTTTTTCTGAAGGTCTGAAACTATTTAGGCTTAGGTTGATGGAAACAGGAGAAAGGAATTTTATTTTATGAAAATGCTAGACATTAATGTTAGTGCTCTGAGCACCGCCATTTTTATTTATCAAAATTCTTTTTATAAGTAAATTTTCATGCATGTAAAATGCTGTATATCTTAACTCAGAAAAATTCTGTAATGAAGCTGAGTTAAGCCATCAGCTAGTTTGAAAATTTTTTCCGTAACAGTTAAATAAATGCCACCTCTGATTTTTTTTTTTAGATTATATGACCACTCACTCAACAGTTATTGAAATTAATGTATTTCTCTGCCCTTTGTTCCCAAGTCATCCTCTGTAGAGAAGAAATACCCTATTCTTCGCACAGCAGTTTACAGAGCAAGCACAGAAAGGAAACACAAAGCAACAATAAAAGAGGAAGGCATATGTTTTGGAAATGTGTATGTGAAATTATATTTTTTTATGATAGCTTTTTGTTCTCTGCTACTTAGAATTTGAAACAGCAATGGATGTCTTCTACTGAATTATTTGACTGCTTCCCTGTGAATTCTGTGAAACTTGGATTAATGCTTCAGCATAAAATTTATGATTTTGCCTATTGCAATAGGCAATATTTTATGTCACTGAAAATCTGGAGAAGTGCTAGTGAAGTCATTGCAAATGGAATACAGTCTATTCAATGGGAAATGATATACTATGTGTACCTGTGCAAATGTATTCCTATGTACTGTGTTGCTTTCATCTGTAAGACAAGTACTTGTATTTTGCAAATTTAGTGATGGAATATGATGACTGAGTTGATTTAATTATTTAATGTTTATTGTCTTGAAGTGAAACTAAAGGAGTGTTCATATTGCTCTCAAATACCGTATCTAGAACCTTTGAAGTAGCATGACAAAGTGAAGGGATGATGTATACTTGCCAAGAATTGAAGGTTCAGAAAAATTGCTGTAGTAAGATCAGTGAAGTCCAGAAATCTGTCTCTAACTTTAGCAGGAGTAGAGGCTATTTTGGGAGACCACGCAAGTCTGACTGACTGCCTTCTGCAGTCCATTTCCCTTGTATTCCCTTAGCATCCATAATTATTGGATTTTGAATGTTTGGGACTGCAGCTCTGCCATATACCTGTTTGTGAACCTGGTGACCATGAACTTGCCTTCTTCCTTTTTGAACCTCCTCATACTGTCATCCTCCACAGATACTGGTGGCAATAAGCTCTAGAAGTTTGTAATCCCCAGTCCTTTGGCACAGTTCATCTTTTGGTTTCCTTTCCCTTTCATACACGTGATGAGGAATTTTCTGAGGATATTTTTCTGAGGCTGAAGAGATGAGAATGACTTTTTGCAGGAAAACCTCCATTCATCAATTTTATAGATTGGATTAAAACTGCACTTGGGGTATTTTATGCTAGATTCCTTTTTTTTTTTTTTTTTAATGAAGTTTGTCTATCAGTTTCTTCTCAATGGATTTTGTACTAATTGATCTCTTGCATCTAAACTTACATGAGAGATGTAGATGTCTGGAGGATGTGAACTTCTCAGTTTGTGAAAAATTAGGTTTTGTGTAATGGAACCTCAATTTTCATCAGTCCTGAGCCAGGCAGAATGGTCTCCATCCCAGATATCGGAAACTATTTGACCAGTAAGGATCTGCATTCTGGCTTGTATCACCGGCCACAATACATAATATTTAGTTTAATTAGTAGGTGATGTGAGAGAAAGCTGAGAGGAGGGATCTAAGCATGGAAATTGAAGGTGTAAGCACTTCTGGGGAGTGATTAGGGATTATTAAAGAAGAGATTAGGAAACTGTCAGTCTTCATTAGTTTCAGCGCTCACAGTACAACTTATTTTCTATTTGTGTATTCTTCCCAGAAAAAAAATTCTGGCTATCTACATATGCCTTAAGAAAAGCACGTAAGTGCTGCTACTTGTGTATCAGGGACTGGCAGCACAGATTTCTGTCTCATCTTTCACATGCTGGATTTGACTTTGGCAGCACTTTATCATTCTTCAGTCAACAGAAGAATCTTATTGGGGGTTACCATTTGCTGCCTGAAGTTTCACTGTCACACTTCTCCTCTCAGAAGGCAAAACTCCTCTTAGCACAGAATTGTCTGCACTGCCTGCACCATCCAGTTCAGTACAGTCTACTGCTCTGCTCCCTTTTTACAGATTTTTCTGAGACTGTGAAGAAAGGATTCTATAACAGTTAGCTCCTAGTCCCAAAAATAAAGGATGTCCCTATATCTTTGAATTAAGGAAGATCAAGTCTCCGTTCGTAGACTTAAGTACAAGATAATTGCTAACCACCATAATCCTTCTCTGCAGCCAGGGAACTGGTTTGTACCTCTTACCTTTTGGAATAAATGTTCATATTTGATTGCATGTCATCATACGGAAAATGTATTTCATAGTGAACAAGGGCCATTACTGAGATTCTACTGGTCCAGGTAAGATGACAGCAGACTAGCAGACCAGTGCAGGACTGTGTCCTAGCTAGAGAAGAGTTTAAAAAAAAAAAAAAAAAGAAGTTTTTTTTTCCTAACAGTTAGCAGAGGAGAGCTGCATAATCTTGACCCAGGGAAGGGTAAACATGCAAAAATCAAACTTTACTCTAGTACAAAGAATGCGATTTATAGGAGCATGTTAGAGTTTGGCCAATTTACGCTTCCTCCAAGAATTCCAGATCTGAGTGGACATTGGTGTCTCTCAATGTGACAGTCTCATGAGGGAGATAAGGACTTATTTGTCTATTCTGGGCCATGTTGTCCCCTGCATCTGTGTACTGCTGTGTGACAGATTTGTCTCAGATATGAGCAAGGAAGAGACTGCGGTCTCTGCCAGATAATCAGTAAATTTATTCATATCTAGGTAATCATTGTATACGGTTATCTAGACAGTAGAAAATCACTGCTCTGTTATCCAGTCCTCTCTCACTTTCTCACGTCTTTCTGGAAAGTGGTTGCTGTTCGCATTCTTTCTGATTAGTCCCTGAACTAACACATGGAACATTCATGGACAACTTCAAGGTTCATGGTCTCTACAAGAGCCATACTGAGACTGCTAAGGTAGCTGTTGCATCTAGCTAAGACTGCTGACACATCAGGCAAAGCTGCTCTTTTAGTCAAAGACCTGAAATCCGTCTTCAAAAGAACAGGTTGCTGCTGAAGAGCTACCCACAGCTAAGTGTGCATGTACCACAAGAAAGAAGTTGTGGAATAGAGTAACTTCTTTGAGATGTATTTTTGGAATGAAGAGTGCTCACCCTGTCCTTCCATTTTAGTGCTTGTATTATGCAATTCTGTACTGGAAGAGAAACTCCAAGACTTGTGCATCGATCTTTCATGCTTTTGTGGGAAGGGCATATATAGTGTGTGGCTGCTGCTAAAGCAAAAAGTGCTGGCACATGAGTTTTAGACAATTTCAGCTGCTCTAAGTGATTCTTATTTGACACCATTGCGACTTCAATATAATCTAGATTATTAATTATCCTATTAGTCTGAATTATATGGCCTGAATTTTTTAAAGCCTATCCACAATGGAGTTAGACCAACAGTTAGCTGAAGCTTAACTAATTTTTCCACCATTGTACCTGTGCTTTATTTTTGGTTGTTAGTGAAGATGTGATTGGTTAAATGAGAACAAGTTATACATTAAATCATTATTTCTTTCATGGTTTTAATATATTTTTCATTTTATCCTGACAAGTGAAATTAGTTGGAACAGATTAAAAATTTACCTAAACTGCGTACACTTTAGTGGATGCAGAGGCTGTCACCTGCAAGATGTGCAAGAAGCTGGTGTTGCTTACTCTCCTGTGACCTTTTCTTTGTATTTTAACTGCTGACAGTTATTTTCCTTATGTTTTCATACAGGCTAATATAGTACATGTATTTTTCAGAGCTCTCTAGCTTAACCTTGAGTTACTTTTTCATGTATATTGAACTTATTTAAGAGATTTTCAGATTAGTCTACAAATCTACGAATGAACTTGAAAAAAAACCCTGAAAAATCCTGTATTACAGTATTTTTATACTTTTTCTAGGAAAGAATTTAATTTTGAAAATACTACTTATTACCTTCTTTCTGATTTCATTACCATGCTGTTGGAATTACTGAGAATGAGAACAAATTATACCATTGATTTTTTTTAAGTATTATTTTCTTAGTTGTGTTTCCCAGAGCATAAACTTAGTTTAATCTTGAAGCTCTCTTACTTTTGAGACTAAACAAAATAATGATCAGTTTTTATGCAATACTGCTTCTCATGCCTATAGTGTTAGACCACAAGAGGTAGGGCTGTAATTTTGTTTTGATTTCTTTCCCCACCCTCACTGTATATTTTATTCATCGTGAACAAAGCTCTAACTCTCTGCCCTAGGACAGCTGTATCTTAATCATAAATGCAAACCATTATACTAGTCATATTTTAGTTGATTGTGCTATTTTGCCTGTATGACTGCATCTTCAAATTTTATCCTAATTGAGTATATTGTTCAATTTTGGGCTCTCAAGAACGCATAAGGAGGGAAGAGAAGAATCCGTTTGTCAGCCTACTAGCATGTCAGAGCAAGAGACAATGAAGTTAAAAAGGAGCATAACAAAACCTCTGTCCTTAATGTCAAAGAATGAGAATTTGAAAATGACACTTCCCACAGCTTCTGCTTGCAAAAAAGTTCAGCATGGTTTTAGCACATCAACTCCTTCTCCTGTATATGGTAAAGTACCTAAAATGATAGAACATGGAGTAATAAAAGATGTTACTTTCTTTCCCCATCGTTGTAACTATTCTTTTCCAAACACTTGTAAATATACAGTGTCCTCCAGTGCATTGCTAACAAAGAATACTGTAAGTCATGAGCATTCCAGTTTTTACTTCAAGCTTGGTCTGGTCATTTATTTTCTGTTTTTCTACTGAAAATAGCAGTCTTACTGGACTTCTAATGTTTGGCAAGATATAATATTTCAGTGGGCAGCCGTAGTACAAGCATACCCACTGTCCTTCCCCCTAAAGCCTTTAGAAGGGAATGCTCTTCCTTTTCTGGGCATTACAGGGGGTGTGAAAAATGCTTCCTTTGACATGGTGAATATATAAAAACACTCCTGCAAAACTTGACATCTTTTAAAAAACAAAAAATGGAATAGTGGAGATATAACACTATCTTAAACTCTGTATACAACTGCAAAGTGCATAAGAGTGTGTGTTTATTGCGGTTTTTAAAAGTTACAGTTATCCATACTTCTCTTCTGTGTAGGTTTGCCTTTTCAACATTTCTTTAACTGAGAAGGCTGTGTAATGGGTCTTGAATGTATTTTTTCCACCAGATGTTAATGAAAACTAAATGTATGATCGCCTTTCCTATTGTCCTCCAATCAACTTGGGTTTTTTTGAAGTGTAAAGTGAGATCATCTCTCTAAAATACAAAAGCATAAACCACGGAAGTTGTATGTATGATGAAATTAAACTCCTCACAAAGGCTTGGTGGCCTTGTGATCACAGTTCTTGCTCTTTGAAAGCCATTGCAAGTTTCAAACTGACTTCAACAGGTCAAAATTTGCGCAAGTCTGCAAGCTGGAGTTCATTTATATCAGTAATTTTGGGATTATGCTTTGAGTGAAACTTGCAGAAAACAGTTTTGAATCAATTGTATCCTGTAAGCACACGAAACATGAATATTGAGAAACTGTGCCTCGTTAAACAAGGCGTTGAAGTGTAGGGCTGTACTGGGTCTGGCTGGGATGGAGTTAACTTTCTTCGAAGTGGTACATATGGTGCAGTGCTTTATATTTGTGGGTAGCACAGTGTTGATAAGGCACCAATGCTTTGGCTAAGCAGTGCCGCTTTCCTGGGGTCTAGGCTTGCTTTCTTTCAGAATGGATGAAAAGGTTTTCTAGTAATAAACAGGGCCAAGCGAATGGCAAAAGTCAAAGTGAATGGTACCCTCTTTACCTCATGGCGTACCCAGGAAAGAGGCATTACATTTGTTATCCAACCATACTGAAGTAAGTGATGTCAACTGATGATTTGAAAACAAGCCGTAATGCGTTGTTGAGAAAAAGAAACAGCTTTGTGTGTGTGTGTGTGTGTGTCTCTCTCTATATATATACAAATATTAAACCCATCAGAATGCATTTGGGGAAGCACACATTGCAGAAATGTAAACTTGCAGGAAGTTTAACTTAAATTAGAAAAATATTTGTGCATAATGATCTGCTTTAAATTACTAATATTTTCCTTTTTTAATGTGTCGGTTGCAGATAATATCAGAAAGACTGAAATGCAAACAACTGTTTTGGAGCCAAGTTGCCATAAAAAGACTTGTGAGCAACCAGAAGTTGAAAGGTCTTTCAAACAGCCTTTGAGAACTAAAGTTCATTCTTATGATAGAACAGGTACATACGTTGTAGCATCGGGGGGAAGACTATGCTGTTAGTTATGCCTGTACAGCCAGAGTGTTTTGTTCAGATTTATGTTGCTATAATGGAGAATATACTCAACTGCTTCTGTCTTTCTTCATCCATCTCCCGCCTTTAGAGTAGGCGTACACGTGTAGAGGAGAGCTGATACAGCTGTAAATGAGAGAGTGATGTTGTTTTAAACCTTATTTCAAAGGCTAACAAATTTACCCTCTGCATTCACCTTCTGATGTTTGGGGTTTTTTATACCTGATCTCAGACCAGACTTTCAGACTTTGAATTTTTATTTTAATGTTGTTTATATTTTATAGTTAGCTACAGTAAGTTTTCTTTTAATTAGAAGATTTGTAAAGCATAGTCATGTTTTCTTACTTATCTTGCAGGATTAGTGTCAGAAAGATTAGATTTTGGTCATTATTTCTCCATTGTTGAGTCTGAAAACCGAGAAAGAGTGATACCACAACTGGATTCCTTTTTTTTCTTTTTTGCAAACTTTTTTTCTATGCAGATTGTAATAGGGATTAAAAACCACAGGGAAAAAAAAAATAATTATGCTTTCCAGAACTTCTCAAATTGTTTTCCATAATGTTATAGAATATTTTGTTCAACTGGAGTGTTCTTCTCCTATGCAGGACTAGATTGGTCTGATTTCTAAAGGGGTAATATGTTTCCATCTAAAAAGGAATTTCTTTTAAGTATTAGAAAGAAAAGTATTATTGTCATTCTTTCGTTTTCAACAGTCTTTTTGTTTAGCTGAGATTTTGCTCTGCCTTCAGATGTCTTTTCTCATTCTTTCAGTCTTTTTAGCATTTGAGGAAGTCTTTGGCCTGTAAATCATATTTTTTCTACTGAGTACTTTGAATTTTGTAAATTACACGATAGATCAGTGTAAAATCACTGGAAAACAAAATTACTTTGAAGTCAATTGAACTACTGTTCTTCTATTGCAGAAAAAAAAACCCATTTGGAATATCTGATGGTTTTTGGTTTGTTTTTTTTTTTTTTTGAGAAAGACTTTCTGAGACATATTTTTAGTGTCTTCCAACTCAGAATAATATCAGACCAGTCTTCCACACTTGTTAAGGCTTATGCAATGAAACTAAAGAATGAATGGCTGGCTGGCTTATGTAATATTTCTAAAGGGTTTATGTTAAAGCGAAAAAAACAACACTTTTTTTTTGTTTTTTCTTTTCTCAATGTACCAGAACCAATTGATGATGATGTTGTAATGCATATTTTGAGGCTTCGGGGCAAACTTGGCTGGCAAACAAAGTTACCATCGTGTGAACAGTTAGCTAGAGAGGCTGATGTGTCCAGACTTCAGAAGTTCACAGTTATGGTGAATTTTGCTTTCCCTTCTCCACATCCTGTGCAATTACACATTCTAGAAAAGATGTTGCTTAAAATCTAAATCACTTATTTCCTGAAAGGTTTTGCCTCTGAAAAAGGATAGAAGTGTTCTTAGAAACAACAGATTTTTTAAAGAGAATAAACTATTAGAATTAAAATTAGTAGGATTGAATTCTAATTCTTAAAAACAGGAATTGGAAGCTTAATTACCCTTTGCGATGGTCAGAGCCTTAGCAGAGTTCTGGGAGAAGATGGTCAGAATAGTGGTACCCAGAATGATTTATTCCGTCTCTGGGTGCATAGCAATCACTTAAACTTAGTGCTCAGCCAGTGCTCCCCGTAGTCGAGCTATTCTAGCACAAAGTCCAATTGTGATTATGTCTGTCCTGATCAGACATACCAAGTATGAGGCCAGTATTTGTCGTGAGCAGTACTGGGCAGTCTGCTTTTGATGGAGCCAAATGGGACGCTGCCTGTGTTCTCTTACCAGCTTGGTGCATTCAATTACTGACAGACATATGTCTGGTTTAATTATAATTTTGGAAACATGCTTTTTCACGAACAAAAAAATAGGCAATACAGCAAATAAAATCAGGTTTCTTTCAGTGCACACAATGTTGTGAAATATTTTGGATGCACAATAAAAATAAAATCTATGTTATATTTTGTCCCTTGGGACTTCTGATTTCAGAGATGGCTGCAGAGTTTTTAAGAAGCATTACAGTTGTCCACAAAACTAAAATTTCTTCCAGCTATAATGACATATTTTCAAAACAACCAGGCATCACTGATACTTACAATCTTTAAATGTGTACGTGTTTGCTACTAAAGAGCTTTACAGTGTTTTTTTAGTCTTAACAGTGCTTACCACTGGTTTTATAGATGGAGAAACTTAACTACTGAAAAGTTTGTTCAGGTTTGGATAAAAAAGCTGTAACATTAATAAGGTTATATGAGACTGTTTTCTTGACAATAACTAGTAATATTTAACTAGCTGTTGGTGGAACTGCAAAATTTTTAGATTGGAAATACTAGAAATATGTGATGATAATAGAATAACTTTCTAGTCAATTCAGTGTTGCTACTAAGCTTCTTACCAGAACACTTGGGTACTTCTTTACTTTTCTTCTCATAGTAAATTATATAGATATATAACTTGTAATCATGAAAAAAAAAATATATACACCCATGTAAATAATTTCCTCTTTTGACAGAGACCGTTATTGCTAAAAGATACTGGGGAATATATATATTGTCTTCAACGAAACAGGAACAACTTTAAAGCTCCCTACAACCCATACGATTTACAGGCTGTCTCTACAAATGCAGCTATGAAAAACAAAGAATATTGGACCGTTACAGCTTCATTTGTGTCTAAGGTAGCATGTTGTACAGCACACAGAACAACATAAACACAGATTTCCACAGAAAGAACAGTTTTCTTTTCATTTATTATCATGTCACGTTCCCATTGCAATTATGTTACTGTCTTTGCTTATGAGTTTACTGGTCCCTCCTAAAGATAAGTCCTCTGTTGGCCTTGAGCTTAACGTAGCCCATCCTTTTGCTCAGGCATGTGTTAAGATCTCGAACCGTGGTATCCAGCCTGAACCTTAGCCCACTAGGTGTGTTAGAAGATGGGTCACTTAAAACTTAGCACCCAAAAATGCACTAACTATCTGCATTTCTGGGTGTAGCAATGCACGACAGGGAACACACATCCTGCATGATCTCATCTCAGACAAGGGCATAGCCTCTGCTGGTAGTCGTATATAGAAATCGGTAACGATCATGCCTTATCTTTGCTTTTTCTGTTCTTTTACTCTTCGCATTGTAAATAGGTGAGCCTTCAGTGACTTATTGATTAGTCTTCATTTGGTCTTGAAAGCATTTCCTTTTTAGAAAAAAATACAAGAGCAAAATTTATTCCCTAACTCAGAATGAGATTCTATGACTAGTTTAAGCCTGTGTCAGGCTGATGAGAGAGTGGCTCTAAGCCACCCTCTCCATTGCATTGGCACTGGTGATTTCATGGCCAGTATGTTGGATCACCTCGCTAATTTAGCTGAAAACGAATGAAAATACATTGTATGTGTATTTATCTGCTTGCCAGGTTAATTTTCAGTCAGATTAGAGAGCTGATCCATCTCACCAGGACCACAGAGTACTGATATTCCTAAAAGAAGCACTAAAAATAACACCTTTTAAGAATATGAGCACCATGTTGCATGATGTTTCATCCGGTCTTAAATGTCTTTGAAGACAACTCAACTTTGAAGTCCTTTTTCTCTTTAGTGTGAGTGAAGTTTAGAACTAGTACAACACTAACCTTGTATGGAAGAAGTGATAATTGCATAATTTACATAATTGGATTGTTGCTGGATGCTAAAGTTAAACTTTTTGTTGTATGTATGAGATACATGGTTTGAATGTCAGAAAATTACCGGCACAGCTTAGGAACTGATGCAATTACTGTTGTTAAAATGAGGAAGATGTTTTTGCTACCAGTGGAGGTACTAAGATTTTATAAAACCAGATTGGAAGAAAAGAATAAATGTTGGTAACCTGACTGGGAAAAAAAAGACTGCGACCTTGTTCCTTCGCCTTCGGAATGTTTGCTGTTGTACAGAAATTTGAAGTACAGCCTTGATTTAAATACAAAATGAATTGTTCCAAAGTGTCTGTAACAAAAGATTTACTACTTGCTTTGTCTAAACCACAGAATGATTCATTCAAAGCAATTAATTAGTGCTTAGTAGCCAGTCCTCTCTCTCTTATACTCCTATGAAAGATAATGAAGATTTGTATAAAAGTATATCTGCGCATTGTCACTTTACTGTATTCTTGCCAGTCAGAGTCCAGTCCATAATTTGAAAAGGAATTATGCTAATTTACAATTGGTAATTTTTATATCCTTTCACACAGGTGTGAACATTCTCTTTAGAGAATGAAAAATCAATTTGCTTACCCTGTTGTTGATTTGGTTGTAAGATGCTGTTTGCCTACCTGAAAAACACAGCGAAGGTTCGAGAAAAGGTTTTTTGGAGTTTGCTGCCAGAAGGCGTTACGGTGACCACCCTCTGGGTGGGTACATCTGCCCACCTCGTACTGGAAATCTTTACACAAGTCAAATTCTCTTTTCCTCTTATTCAGTATTGTATCTTGTAGTGACAGGAAGAAATTGATATTCCATAACATTCACTTGCTAACAGGGAATAAGTCCATTCAGATTCCTCCTTCTTACATACATTGTGTGAGATAAAGCACTTTTAAACAAGAAAGGTATTCAGTGGGCCTAAATAAATGGATTTTTAAATGTGCTGAGGGGCTTTCCTAACTATGGACAGACTTGAACATCTACCAGAATACTTTCCTAAGTAGTGTGTATGTGCCATGACATATTTTGAAGGACAGAAACATCATGATATTTATAGTAATAAAAACATGTAGAAACTGTATGCTTGTTCAAAATTAAACAAAAACTACATTGGTAGACAAAATAAAATGTGGTGAATTTTGCCACCACTGTGGTCATCAGTATTCATGCTTTTTGTCATTGATAATGAAGATTTGGTAATGCTTGTCTTTTTGAAAAGGCCTTGTATAATTTTTCTTAATTTTTCTCCTAGTTTTCTGCAGACCATAAATTAGGAGAAATGGAAATAACACCAGTTCCACAATGGCTGCATGAAAGACAGATGTATTACAAATTACTCAATCTGAATTTCTTTTCCAATTTCAGGTAAGGACATAAAAAAAAAATAATAATTGAAGTTAATCAATTACAGTCATAATTTTCAATATCTTTGTATGATAAAATGCCAACTTAATACTGTGTTAATTCCTGCATAGGCGTTCAAGAATTTAAAGAATTACAGTATCTAAAGACTATTCAAAATCTTTTTGATTCTTATGTCTAAATCATTAAAGGAATTATACATCCTCTTTTCTCTTTTGTTACTTTTTGTTTCTTCTTTTTTATTTAACCTTAGAAAAAGTAAGAATATCGCTAGTAATATCTTCCTATACGTTAAATTTTAGGAGGCAAGTTAATTCTTCCATTTGTTCTCTTTCAAGTTCTATAGACTGTATGAAATAGCTAGTACTGTTCACCTTCTATAGAATGCATTCAAGCAAATTATGTAGTGTTAAATAGAAGAAAATGTTTAGTGGTGAAATTTTCACATTCCTCTGGCAGGCTGTTTTGGAAAAATCAATAAAAACACGATAGCTGAATTTTAACCTCTTGCTGAGACAAATATTAAACATCCATCTCCTTCACATTTGTTTCAATATTTTATTTTTATTACTTTTTAGTGGGACATCCTTGTTTCTGGATTTTTTTGGCTTTCATCTATAGAATATTGCTGGAAGTGATTCAGTTTTAGTACTTGACCCTGCGTCTCATGTTGGATTTGTGCATGCAAGATTTTTGTGTGTGCATCAGTCATCACAATGATGGCATATACAAATTTCACTCATTTGTGAAATTGTATTTTATGTTTGCCAGTATCACATTCCACATATGAAAACTAACCAAAGTAATCATGATCTTATTCACATTGCTTCCCAAAATTCTGGTAACGTTTGTTGTTATTGAATATATATGAATATATATATTGAATGCATATATGTTTATGTGTCAGAGAATTAAAGATTGCTGTGATGGGAATGTTTAGAAGACAGATAAGCCAATTTTAAACGTTCTAAAAAATTTTACTGGAATGACATTGTTTAACTACTCACTTTATGCTATTGCTTAGTTCATATCCATTATCAGTCATGATCACTCCATAGTCAGTTAACCCTTCACAACCTCCGTCTGCGAGTATGCAGTACCACAGAGCTGATGCGGTGGGTGTGTTTAGTACAGTTCTTGCTTGCCTTGGTCACTGAGGTTGAGGTGGTAAGGCTCAAAACTGGTCTACCAAGGGAAGCTGAAATGACAGTGAAGATGTTGCATCTCTTCTCCCTGCCTATTTATAAATGTATTGTGTTTATATTGTTTCTAGACAATTGGCTTCTGCCTCTGGGCTAGCTGATGCAAAAGCTTAATGATGGGTACTCTGCCCGGCTGCAGCAGGTGCATTATCCTGTACCTTGTTTGTTTTTTTTTTGTTTGTTTGTTTCTTTGTTGATTTTCCTTAGTTAGCTGCTGCTTCTCTTCTTAAAGCAAAAGTAATGTTTGCCCAGCCTTGAGGGTTGTTTAATCACTGCCCAGTAACTGACCATCTGTAGGTCAATTATGGGTTCTGGCACCCTTTGCTTCAATCGTGGCCATATTTTCAAGGCCTTTACTGTTACCCTGTGCTTAACATACATCCCAACAAGAAATGTCTGGTACCAAGGTCCAGTTTACACAGGAAGTTCTCAGAACAAGTTGGTAACAAGCCTGACTGGCCAGGACTGGGACTTGGTGCAGTTAACATCAGGCACAGTTAGCTTAAAGTTTCTGGTTTATTATTGACAGTGGCAATATTATTTTTACTAGGGACAAAACTGCTTATGCAGTTATGGTACATTGGGGACGTTTATGTTCGGGTTTCAAACAAGCTCATATTAATGTTTGCTTAGTGTACTTTGTCTTTTGTGGGTACAACAGGCCTCTGCTTTAGCCATACATTTCATACCTCTATCAAGACAGAGGAAGAGGTGTGGAGGCAATGTTTGGGAGCAGATTTAGAAAGCGGAATTGGCTAAATAGATCTGCATCTGTCTCCCAACAGCGTAAGTGCTGCTACTGAGCTGTTGCGACAGCAGGTGTGACAGTGTTTAGAATTTATGTGGATAAATAATTATTTCTGTTGCTTCTAGAATGAAGAAATACTTTCTAGTCTGGAAAATCAATGCTAGAAGAAGCAAGACGAACAAGACCAAGTCAGTTTAAATACAGGTTTTCCATGCAAAAAGAATGAAAGCATATTTCATCTCCTGCTGTACACTTTAGCAATTTGTGTCCTATTTTCCTTAAATACTTTATAAATCAACAAAGACCATTATACAAATGCTAGATTACCTGTTGATAACAGCATGGAAGACTTACTCTAATAAAATTTTTATGGTGCTTTTATCGTGCTGTGAAGGAGCCTGGAATTTTAATCTGGAGAAACCTGAGCTTTAATTTGATGTTTGTCTAATGCCAAGCACAGTGGAATTCTGCTTTATGACTAGGGATTTTCAGTATGAATGGAATGAAAATAATAACTAATACAGTGTTATATTGTAAAATGAGAGTGGTTGCACCAAATCCAGGCTGAGTATGGGCTGAATGAGAAGATGGAATTCAGTCTGTATGTTGAGGTGAGTAAATAAAATCCCATCACACTTCATTTATTCTCCTTAAGGGTGTCCATTATTGGCATGTGGATAATATTCGTAT